GATGCGGGGCTCGATCCCAGGACCCTGGGATCATGACCTGAGCCGAAGGCAGACGCTTAACGACTGAGCCACCCAGGCGCCCCAAGTTCCTGTATTTTTTCTTAAATGAATGTGATTTTTAAAAGGCCACTGGATGTTAAATAGTTGGTAAGTGAATAGGTGAGAAAGGTAAAGTCATAGAGATGGTATAGGAATAGCTGAAGTTAGGAAATCACAAGACAGGGGACTTCTGGGATCTCCCAAGCCAGAACTCTTGATGTACAGAAAAGCAGGTTGGTGGCCGGCTGAGGAATGGGATTCTCCCGAGAACTGTTCTTCTGGCTTTGTTTTGGGGCCCTCTGGTGGCCCTAGTCAGTACTGCCTGCAGACCAGGCACCACGCTCCTTAGGATCCCTTATTCCCAGATAGCCAGGAGCCTGAACAGGAAAAGGAGAAGGGGCTGAGGAATGAGGTGATGGGGCCTCTGGTTCAAGAGCTGCCTCCTACACCTGGAAACTCTCCTGCTTTGCCCTTAGGCTCTCTAATAAATGTGTTTATGTGCTATACTTCTTGCCACTTAGCTGCCAAGATATTGAACTGAGGACCATGACAATAGCAGACCCCAGAGCAGTGCCAACTTGGCCACCATTCACCTTTAATGTGGGTTCCAGAAAAGTCTAGGCACTTAAGCTGGGCCCACGTATGTGGCCCAGCCCAAATGGGACAGTGACCAAGCGCTGTGTTTTGACGGAGGTAGTGGCCTCTTCTCCCTTTCGACGTGCTCTTCCACCCCTCACACACCCGCCTACAGGGTGAGGAGCAAGGCCAGGTTTCCTGGAGGGCGGTGGGGGAGGGGCAGGGCCCAGGAGAGAGGGAGAGGGGAGGGGCAGGGCCCAGGAGAGAGGGAGAGGGGAACTCACCTGACTTTGTCCCCCACTTTCGGCAGATCTGCGAAATGGTCAGGAAGTCAACCACCTCTCACCTGGAGCCCTATCTCCGGACTCTGCCAGGTTTGGAGGCCCCCTCCTTTCTCTGGGTGCCATCAGATGCCATGACACCTGCTACCCCCAGACCCATCACCACCATCCTCTCAAGAGCCCCAGGAGAACTTTCCCCATGGAGTACCTCTCCATCCTACGGAGCTGGATTTGGGGTGACCACCTCTCTTGGGGGTCTGTTCTGGAGGTACGGGAGTAAAGCGACTGAGCGTCGTGACTCGGAAACATGCTGGGAGCTCGAGGTGGACAGAGGATGACAAGCACATGGGAGAAGCACATGTTGGCTCTTTCCTGGCTGCTTTAACAAAACAGGGATGCTCTGAAATCCCTGCGTAAGGCCGGGGATCCTCCCAGCCCTGTCCCTCTGGCTGCCACAGGGACCTTTTACAATCACACATCAGGTCAGGTCTCCCCCTGTTCTTGGAACCCATCGAAGACTCCTCTGACCCTCAGGACACTGAGCCCCGCTTCGAGTGACAAGGCCTTGCATGGTCTGGCAATGTGGCCAGCCACACAGTCCCTATAGGCCTCCAATATTGCTAATTCCTCTAATACACCCTCTATGCTTCTACTATGGTCCTAAGCTACAAGATCTTTACACATGTCATTCTCTCTGCCAAGAATGTCCTTCCCCCACATCCACCACCCTTCACCCAGTCAACACCCACTCCTCCTTCAGATCATCCTTCAGATCACAGCCCAAACAACACTTCCTCTGACTCCCTGTCCGAATCAGGTTGCATTCCCCACCCCCTGTTATATGGTTGACATCATCCTATGGATTTATGCTACCTAATAGAGTTGCTATTTTACATTAATTTGCTCAAGTATTTGATTGTCTTTCCCTTTCCTCCCCATCCCCCACACCCTGGACTGTCAAAGGACAGGGATTCTGACTATCTCACTCAGCTGTTTTATCAGCCCTCTATTCATAACACTTCTCTTTCCTGTTCCACAGTTATCTCAATGATTGATCAGGTTGCCGGCATTGACTACAGTTTAGTAGGTGCTCCCCAAGTGACTTCTCAAGTCCTAGACATACCCTTCAAGGTAAGTTTCTGTGGAGAAAGGACCTAAAAGACTGGCAGAAAATCAGTATTACCTCCCAGAGTTGGCTCCTACCCTCCTTCTCTAATCCATCTGCCCCTAAGTTCCCATCCCTGGCCAGTGTCCACAGCAGCAATAGGAAACTAATATGCCCCCTCTTTATTCCAGTCTCTTCCACAGTTCCCTGGGGACTGAGCAGGTCCGGGAATGCCATCTTCCTCCAATTTTATTTACTTAGCGAACACTTATATGCTTCTTACTATGTGCCAGATGCTGAGTATCTGTACAAACGTTCACTTATATAAATTTTACGCCACCTCTATGAAATAGAAGCCATTAGCATCATCCTCATTCTGCAGATGAAGAGGTTGAGGCACGAGGGAGCTAGGGACCTGCTCAAAGTCCCAGAGCTAGGAAGTGACAGTTAATCTCTAGAGTCCATGCTTTCCACCACCAGGCCACACCCTGAGCCCTGGAGAGCACAACACGTACCTCCCCAGCCAACGCTGTAATGGGGGTTTTCAGGCAGCCGTCAGGGTCTAAATGTTGTGGGACCAGAAGTGGGCCCCAGGCCCACATTCTAAAGAGGAACCACCACCCGGACCACCATGCAGGGCACAGGAGGCTTCCCCAGGCTTCCCCTGGACGCCTCTTCTTGGTACCCTATCTGGTAGGAACCTTGGGTGGGCGATGTGTCCTTCTGTCTCCAGGGTGAATTCTTTGGCCAAAACTGGCACTCCCCAGCCCCCTTCGATGCTCCGCCAATCAGGCTGCCCGAGAAACACGACCACATGGTCTACTTTGCTGTCTCTGAATATGTCTTCAACACAGCCAGCCAGGTTTACCACCAGGCTGGGCGCATGAACTTCACCATCCAAAACCACCACGTGAGTAGGGGAGGGAGAAGGCTGCGGGGGGGGGTTGGTGGAATCCCAGGAGAGAGCGTCAGGCTGGACTGTAGACCAAGCTTGGGGGTTTTCAGGAGCCAGGGAAAGAACGTATAATCTGAAGCCTGACAAATATGAGTTCAAATCCAGGCTGTGCGTGTGGATCCCAACAGTGCCTAGTCCCCAGGGATCGTGTGAGAGATTGTCTGATGAGAGCTTGGTGTCTGATGCATGATGCATATTAGCTATTATCGGCAATACATTAAAAAACTACAACAGGTTCTGCGGTATCATATCAGGTCCTCCAAGCAGCAGATGCCACGGCGGCACTAGACTTGGAAGAGATGGAGTAGGGGAGCACCCGCGAAGGATAAAGGGGAGAGGAAGGAGGAGTGGGACGGGAGTCCTGAAACCGTGGAGGAGAGGGAAGGCAAGCACACTGGGTAGAAGAGCCGCCCCGCAGGTCTGAGAAGGCTCTGCTCAGCTGAGGGAGGGCACAGAGCAGAGCCTGCTGCTCAGAGGAGCTCCGGAGCAGGCAGAAATTGGACGAGCCCGGCCCAGGCTAAAATCCCGTGCGTGATCTTTCCAGCCTGACCACAGGCAATTGCGAAGCCTTGACCTGGCGGGTCCTCCCGGACTAGACTTGCTGCCAGGCCAGTGCTCAGCAGTGTCTGGAGGGATCTGTGGTCAAGGACTCAAGCCTCCGCCCCATCCCCTCCTCAGGCTGGGGCTGGCGGTGCTCTTAGGCTTATCTGCATGCCAAGCCTAGACACCTCGTTCAGAGGCCTCCTTATGGATGGGGCTAGTGGGGGGTCCCCAGATGAGACTGCTCTGGTGCCTCTGCTGAGACCCCCTTGCTGGGGCCTGGAGGACAGCTTTCTCCAGTCTGACTCGGTACTCAATCCTATTCTACTAGCCCTCCTCCCCCTCCTCCCCCTGAGTCCATAAAACAGCAGGAGCCTTTTCTTTGGGGCTCCTCTGGCAATATGGTGACCACCCCTCCTCCCCTCTGCTGATGCATCTGACGTCACGGGTCCCAGGCCACAGGGGAAACGGAGTAGCGGGGGCCGGTACCCTTTCCTGTTTAGCCTCTTGCTTACACTATCACAATAAGTGAATGAAGGCTTGTGACTTGCAGTTTGGCTCATAGTCTTGATCCTGCCCGTGATCTGACAAAATTCTCCAGCGCTACACCCCGGCTGTGCTCGGTCAGACCCCTTCCTTACACATACACAAAAATTGACTCCAAGAGCGAGGCCCCAGCATGAATGGCTGTCAGCCAACTGCCCTTCTCGCAGGGGACCCCCTGAAGGGAGGTCTGAGCCACGCACCCCCACAGCCAAGCACTATAGGAGCAGCCCAGGTAAAGAGGGGATCTTGAGGGAGGAGAGATCAAGGAAGGTGGGCTGTGTGCAGGTGCAGGCAGGGCTCGCCAAGCTGGGAGGTCAGCAAATCAGAGGGGCGGGTAGAGAGCAGCACCAGGAAAGAGGGTGAGAAAAGGTTTGGGGGGCAGCCATATCTGGAAGTAGATTCAATCCAGGTTGTGGTGGTTATGAGCTCTCACTGGCTCTTGAGGGGAGCATCCTAAGAAATAATAAATAGCAAAAACTGACAGTAACTAAGTATTTACTGAGATTCCAGGCACTGCGCTTAGCGCTTTACCCATGCACTGTCTCATTCAATCCTTGCCCATGCTGCATGGTGAGTGCTATGATTATCATCCCCATTTTACAGATGCAGAACCTAACAAAGTTTGCCAACAAGGAGTCAGCTAAAAAATGGCTAGAGTAGGATTTGAACCCAAGCTGTCTGACCTCAAAGTCCACATCTCTAGCTACCATGTCCTGCATCTCAAGTAGCCTCTTGCTTCTACTGCAGATTCCGGGGGACTCTCCAATCCACCTGCACACCAGTTCATTCCGGGCCATTATTCCTCAGGTAAGACCTCTGAACACTCATCACAGAGAACTTGACCTAGACCAAATGTGGAGATTGTAGTTGCACATCAGTGAGCTGTGCAGAGACTTTTCTCCTGCCCTCCCCCGAGCCTCTGCCCTCTTTCTCCAGCTGGCCAGGTTGTACCCCAATATGGAGCTAGAGCTTGAGACGTCACCCGCATCAGCTCCATTCCTGACGTTCACCCCTGGGAGTGTGACCTTCACGCCAGTGATAGACATCCAGGTCTTTGCTCTCCTGCCCACCTCCTCTGACCGCAAGCCACTCTTTCAGCTCAGGGTGGTAAGTCTGATCTCTGGGTTACATCTGCCATTGGGTAAGCCCCTCTCTCCACTGAAGGAGTGGGAGACTGATGATGCTGGAGACTACTTCTGCCTGCCCGCAGAGTGAGGGAAACTTGCATTCCTGGCAAGAACAGCCAGGCTTCCCAAGAACATACTTAATCAAATCATACACTGTCAGAGTTGCAAGAAAGTCATTCACTCCAGCTAAGTTGGACGATTTTAGCTTATTCACTGTTACATTTGCTGTAAAAATGTGTTTAATCTAAAGCATAACTCTTCTGAAATTGTTATAAATAAAATCATTAAATTAC